TTTACTTCAAAAGTCAAGATTATGTATCAATTTATTACATTTAAAACTTCAATACGAAAAGAATCTATACAAGATTGTGATTAATCGAAATATTATTTTCGCCAAAAAGCTTTAAGCCCAAATCAACCGTCACTGAAAATTAGTAATAAGAGCAAACAACGGGTCTTTGAAGTTTGGACAAGTTTTTATTTTTATTATCGGAGTTTTAAAAATTTTAAAATATCCACTGACATTTTCAATTTATAATAAAACGGCCACTCAGTCCTTAGTATACAATTAATTTATCAACAATTTATTGAATCTTAAATTTGTTTTAACATACTAGAGATATAAGATAGTATATGTCTGTCCATAATTTTTTTAGTATGTTAACAACTCACACCTTACAAATACAACTGTTCGAACTCGAATCCTCCAAGAATAACACATTCTATTTTACTATTGATGTCCCTTATTTAGATCCATAAAGTCTAGAGCTTGATCCAATGAATATGTGTTGGTTCTTCTCTCAAAAGGTCCCGCTTCAAAACCTCATACCTTACACTTTATATTATCAAGTATTTTATCACCAATAAAATGACGATACGTGTTATCATCTTATTGAATTGTATTGATTTATTAAAAATATAATATTATTTTATGATTGAGTGGCCGTTTTGTAAGTTATTAAATTTTAATGATGAAAAGAAAAATTTACGTAAACTTTAATAACCAATGACGTAATATAGGATATTTTGCTTCAAATCAGAAACAGAGAAGAGAAAATACATATCCCAAAAATTAGCATTATTACTTGGATGGCTTTGTGATAGACTTCCAAATAAAGATTGATTGCTTGGAATGGGATTTGAGATTGATAATACATGTGTGCTTTGCAATGTCTCTTTGAAATCTAGGGATCACTTATTTCTTCATTGTCCTTTGTCTAGCTCACTGTGGGATGCGATTTTGCACCTAAATGGCATTCGAAGAAGACCACGCTCTTGGGAAGAACACATATCTTGGGCATGTGCTACATGTAAAGGTAAATCCCTACTAGTTACTATCATGAAGCTTGCTTGGACATCTTTTACTTATACTATATGGGAAGAGAGGAACAAAATGTTATTTACAGGTTGCTCAAGATCTTTTGAAGCTATGTTCAACACCATTAAAGATACCATTTCAATCAAATTATGGGGTAGAAACATTAATATGATTGATAGTGTCAATATCACACTTTGTAATCAATGAAGTATTGCTTATTGAAGTTGTTTTGTTGTAATTTTGATTGTAAGTTCTGAATACTCTTGTAAGTACTTACTGTTCTTTTACAGCAGATTTTTGCTCTTGGATAATAAAAATGAATTTATCCAAAAAAAATGACGTAATATACCTAATAATAAAGGCGTTGAAATAAATTTGATTTTCCACAATGGGGTAAATGCGTGTATTTTTCTTGTTATGAATGTATTCGGATTAGTTTCATAAAGGCAGTAATAGTAGTAATGATAGAGAAGTCAAATTCTACCAACCTTCCGAATAATGAAGAGAGTGTCATAATTCCTACAAGTTAGTATTTTTAGGACATACAAATTGTCCCCACAGGTCTCCTTTGCCTTATTTGCAAATCAAAGAAGGATACTTCAACTTTTCTCACGCATCATTACTCATTGGTATTGTTCAGTAGCAAACAAACCAAAATATGAAACTTGTACGCTCTCCCTTCGTGCACGTTTTCACCATCCAATCACAATATAAAACAAGCCTTCTTCTTTAAGCATGTTCGCCACAATTATCATTTCCCCCAGATTTATTTGTTACTCGATTTTGATCCATCATATTCAAGGATCCGACCGTTGCATTGCTGGAATTATATTAGATTTTAATAAAATCATTTCTAATTTAGAGGCTCGAACTATTACACCATAATAATGAGATAAAATAATCTTAGTGACCGAAAATGTCTTATAATATACGATTTTAATCAATTTTTTTTGGATTTACCAAAATGACCAATAAAATCGCAACGCGAACTCTAATTTTCCAACTTAGTTTCCAGATTCGCAACGCGATTTCCAGATTCGCAACGCGATTTTGAAAAATGTGTTGCGATAGTTAAAATGTGTTGCGATAGTGAAAAATCCAAAATAAGTTTACATTTAAACTATTCCAAATTCACGTGGAGTTTGAAACAATAAAGAATGTGTTGCGATAGTGTAAAAGATTCCCAAGCCATATTTGTAAGATCTTATTTTGAAACAATAAAGAATGTGTTACGATAGTGTAAAAGATTCCCAAGTGTTTGTAATGTTCAATCCCACATAGTATTGTAAACACTATTGAGAATGGGTATTTAAGGCTTGGATTTCTCACTTCCTTGTTGAGTGAAAGAGAACAAGGGAGACTCTCGCGCACCGCCGCCGCCGTCGTCTAGGGTCGGGTCGTGGTCGTGGTAATACGTGTCTTCGACACGTCCGCGCGGATACTGTATTTTTAGAGAAAATTCTTAAGAAACAAATGCAATACCACCAGTCGTTAAGAAACAAATGCAACGTGAACTTGGACTATCGCAACGAATTTGGAAAATCGCATTGCAATTTTGTATTAATTCGCATTGCGATTTTCTAGAATCGCGTTGTGATTTTATATTATCGCGTTGCGATAGTCAAATCGCGTTGTGAATCTGGAAACTGATTTGCGATACTGGAGATCGCGTTGCGATTTAGAGATCGCATTGCGATTTTGTTGGTTATTTTAACAAATCGAAAAAAAGTTGATCAAAATCGTATATTATAAAGCATTTTCGGTCACTGAGGTTATTTTCTCTAATATATTTTACTATTATATCAGGTGACCTTAACGGTTAAGACGATATTTGTTATAATTAAACATTCTAAATTCACAATCGATATTTATAAAAATATTTAAATTTTTACTTTTAAAAACTGAAAATATTTAAAATAAATATTACCTTGATTATTTTTATATATTCAGTTTGACAAAAATAAAACATAATACATAGCAACGCTATATCGGTCCACTTGGCATTTAATTTAATGATTATTCTATACACGTAGTAGTGGAAACCGCTTAATTTAAGGCAACAACTCTCCTGAGGATTGGGAGTGTAATCATTATCCACCGTCCATCATGTAGACAAACTTTGGATCATCATCAACATCAGCAACGTACATTGATACATACCACACCCGTCGTATAATTTAAGTGAAAAGGCGGTATCATCATGATCCATGGAAATCATGCACATGAAAACACCAGCACGTGATACGCACATGGTATCGATGTTCTGTTTCTTGGACACTTTGCGTTTTAGGCAAGAACTACGAGACAAGCATGATCCGGCAACAAATCTGGTGGGCTCATTAATTTTTATTTTTTATGCGCTGCTGATCTTATTCATGACGTGGCACCTCTCGTAATTTTCCAAATCCCTCTTCAATATTTACACCGCATCCTAATTAGATATTGGACTGTATACTTTTTTAGATAAAAAATAAGTTTTAATTGTTTTTTTATAATTATCATACTGATATCAAATAAAAATACAATGAATTATTAATATTTTGCACATAATATAATATCGGTATATGATTATGAGCATTTTCGAGAAAATTAAATAAATACAGGAAGCTAACAACATCCCAATTTCCAATTTCATCGCATTTAATATTCATATGATATTTTTGGGTTCACCATGATTATGTTTAGCGCAATAATGAGATTGGATAGTAATAATTATAAAGGTTTATTGTTTAACAATAAGATTGAAAATTACAAAATTATCCGTCTAGTTCAGTTGGTAGAGGACAAGGCTTTTAATCTTGTGGTTGTAGGATCGAGTCCCACTTAGGGCAATTTATAACGGAGGTCTTTCACGGAAGTTGCTCTCAATTTGGCGTTGGGGGCAACTTACTATCCTACCTCCTCTTACCCCATTACATATAAGAATAAGATCAGCTAATTTTTTAATAAGATTGAAAATTACAGCAGTGAAGGTGAAAAGCTTCCATTACACTTGAATCAATAAATCAATACTATAGAGCATACCGTATATGTATAATCCTGACTTTCATATTTTATAAAATCAGGTGATTAATATTCATTGTTTTTTATATTTTATTACATTGTATCTTTATTTTTTTATTTTTAATAATTTTATTTTTATGACACGTTTTTAGTCATTTAACCGTTACTTTTATTTATTTTTCTCAAGGTCAGATATTACATAGTCACAACCAACTGATCATGATGATACTTAATTACTATCATGTTGATTTTACTTGATTTTGACTCTTAGATTGGATTTAGATACATAATTTGCGTTCATATATAAAAAAAATCACTTCGCTCAACTCTAATTTGTTGTTTATTGATGATCTTTAATAGTTTGATCTTATTTGTGGTTCGTTTTTTGACGCGGTCAGATATGTTCGTATCTATATTTTGCTCGAGTTTATTTAATTAAGTTTTTTTAACCTTTTCTTTGTAAGGTTCTTGTGTGAATTTAAGTGACTAGTTTCTTATACAATTGATCATAGGAATTTTTTTTATTAGATAAGTATAGAAAAAATATTACTATATTACGCTCTTAAGAAAATATTTACTAAATTATGATTTTTTGTAACAAAATTATTGGATATCTATTTAATTATTTGTTTGATTCGATGAATCTATTTTGGATCATAGCAAATGCTTCAAATAAAGTGTTTTGTGACCCTAAATTATTAGACAATAAAAATAATGCAATAATCTATTTAGCGTTTTTGAATCCCCGGTTGAAGTTGGTTCCAGGTCCAACAAGCCCAAACAAGCAACAAGATCCATGCCCATCATAAAAGCAACGTACGTTGCTGCATAACCGCCCCTCCCACGCCCGCCCATCTCTCACGTTCAAACGCACTTCCAAATTATTCTCCTATTTTTACTTCTCAAGTTCATCAGTATATATATTCTCTCACTATCGTTCACTAGCCTGAAATCTGAATCTTTATACAAGCGATTAAATCGAGGACTGATTAAACATGGAGTATTCCAGGGGTTTGATCTATTGAACTTGTTTTTTTATTGTAGCAGCTGCCATGAATGGCTGGGTTGAAGCTTCCAAGCAGTTCAAAGTGGGCGATCATATAGGTTGGCAGCAGCCCAGTGTGAACAACCCTGATGTGTATAGCCAGTGGACGAGCAGTAAAAGGTTTCGTGTTGGAGATTCCCTTTGTGAGTTTTTTTTTTTACTTTTTAATACCCATCACTGGAGCTTATTTTTCTGTGAAGTTTCTGATGTTTAGCTATATTATATTCTCTACTGCATGCAGATTTTGAGTTTGGTCGGAATGATTCAGTCCTTGTGGTGGACAAATGGGATTATTATCACTGCAACTCAAATAATCCCGTCTATTTGTTTAACGAAGGAAACATTGCTGTCAATCTCTATAGGCCTGGGTCCTTCTATTTCATCAGTGGAATCCTCGATCACTGCAAGAATGGTGAGAGATTGATGATCCAGGTGATGGGTTTGCACCAAAGAGAAGAGCCTCCACCTGCCATTGCGAATCCCCATGAGGCTGGGCTTGCACCGGGGCCTCATCCTAGTTCAGGAATAGTTGTTACAGTGGCACTTACTTCACTCTTTCTAGCTCTTATCGTCACTGTTTTAGCTTTGGTATGACGTGCACCGTAAACCTCTTAGTTTTCTTTGTTTTAGTAGTTTTTTCTCTCTCTCTTCATTCAGTGAAAGACATTAATGTTTGTTACATTCGTATTTGAATTCATCATTTACCAAAGTATTTCATTGGAACCAATATTTGATAAACTTGTCTATGCCATGAATCATGATTGACACTGCAAACTGCTTGAGTTTAGTATGAGCAATGATGAGCGGCAACCTCATTGAAGCAGTTTCCATTTAAAATATCACGGTGATGCTAACCAGGAAGATAACGACGGATAACGATATGCCTCAACATATTATTACCGACCATTTTATCGTATTGAACCTAAGAAGTGTAAATATTCCCTAGAATTCATTTGGTAAAATCCTAAGGTGGTTATTTATATAGTTTACCCTTTCATTTAAATTAAAATAAATTGTGATAATTCAAGTGGGCACAAGCCCATTGTCCAGCGCTAGTGCGCTGTCACGAACATCTTAATGTAAGTCATCCCGATCAACGGTTGAGATTGATTACAAACGTTAAGGAGTACGCTAAAAACCTTACACCGTCACTCACATATCAAAACCCCCTGCCTATAATAGAATATTATGACTCCATTCCCTCCGTGGAGTTCCCCAAGCTGTCATTTTTTGCCATCTCTATTCTCTGGAGTGTTCTTCCTTATCCTCAAAAATACTACTAGAACCTAGTCATTTCAAACTACAAACCGCCGTTTCCATGTAAATTTTCCCACTTCTCATCGCTTAGTAAACGTTTCCTACTAGTATTTAACCTCATGTTTCCTCAATGCTGAGAAAACCGAGTTTTCGTAGTATATGTGAAGCTACCTATTGCTTAGTTTTATCGGTGATGGAACTTACATTTAAGCCAGCACAAGCTTTTATTTTAGTTTTCTGGGTTTTTGTTTATATGGGTCGATAAAAGAAATGATAGAAGAAGTTCATTTTTTAGTTTTTTCATCTCAATTTTCAAGGTAGCTTTAAATATATGAATATATATCTGTATATTTGTATAGTTGTTGCTGGGGTAAGTACTGAAAATTTATTTTCTAGTGTGATATCTGATACTTATTTAGTAAATTGGTTCAGATATGGCTGCTGGATGATCATATATAGTTTCTGTTAAATGGCTAACTTAAATTGGTGAAAATTTTATTTTCGCTTTTGAATTGGATTTTGATTATTGTGTGACAATTTACTTAGCTCTGCATTTATTTATTAAGAATAAAGAGTTTGAAACTCTTGCAAGATAAAGCTACTAAAGATTCAGAGTTATTATTATTATTATATTTACTGGCTATTATTAGTCAGTAAGAATGTGAAACTTTATGTAATAACACACTCTTCTTCAGCTTTATCTATTTTAGTGGCCACTAATTGGATTTATGCGTCTTGTGTTTAATGTAATGTTTCAGGTTCTTGAAAGAAAATGACATCATCTTTCGTTGCAATGTCATCAATTGCCTCTCTAGGATTTTCTAGCAGTAAGAAAATGGATAAAAAGTTTTTGAACTCTTCAGGCCGATTGTCATCGTTTGATTCTATATCATCAAGTGCCTTTCTAGGAAAGAAAAAGAAGGTGATTTTACAGAGAGGACAATCTTCCAAAATTCGGGCTATGGCCAAGGAGTTGCATTTTAACACGGATGGTTCTGCTATCAAGAAGCTACAAGTTAGTTTCAGTGAATGATTTGTTTAGTAGGACATCCTCTGGCAATTTGTTTGATGCATGCTTACTTCTTTTCCATTTCAGACGGGTGTTAACAAACTTGCAGACCTAGTTGGTGTTACTCTTGGTCCGAAAGGAAGAAATGTAGTTTTAGAGAGCAAGTATGGCTCCCCAAAAATTGTTAATGATGGTGTAACTGTTGCTAAGGAGGTATGTTTGATACATCGAAGCAATAAACAACAAATAGTAACCAACCGCTGGTCTTTCCTATTTTGATTGCATGTATCAATGTTCTGAATTCTTCAAATGATTAATGATCACGGGTTCTCTTCTGCTGAGTTTGACTGGAATATTTCCCATTTTTTTATTTTTTTATGATTTTTCATTTAATTTTCTTAGGTTGAGTTGGAGGATCCTGTAGAGAACATTGGTGCTAGATTGGTGAGGCAGGCTGCTTCAAAGACCAATGATTTGGCTGGTGATGGAACAACCACATCAGTTGTTCTCGCCCAAGGTTTGATAACCGAAGGTGTAAAGGTTTGTAAGATCTTTCTAGCAAACATCTCATTGGATATTACCTTTCCTGTCTATTGCTACATTGGTTTCTGGTTTTTGGTTATTCTCTCCAGGTGGTTGCTGCTGGTGCAAATCCTATTCAGATAGCAAGAGGAATTGAAACAACTACTAAGGCCCTGGTGTCTGACCTCAAATCGATGTCCAAAGTGGTAAACCGGGATGTTCCTTTTTACCATGATTCACATATTTTGAACCTAATTTTACATTCTAAACGGAGTTATAACATTAGAAATTTTCTTGATGTCTATCTGGGAGGTAAATTTTATCATTTGATTTTGGTCTGCAGGTTGAAGACAGCGAACTGGCAGATGTGGCTGCTGTTAGTGCTGGAAACAACTATGAAGTAGGAAATATGATTGCTGAAGCTATGGGAAAAGTGGGAAGAAAAGGCATAGTGACTCTTGAGGAAAGTAACAGTTCGGAAAACAACTTGTATGTTGTTGAAGGGATGCAATTTGACCGTGGTTATATCTCTCCTTACTTTGTTACCGACAGTGAGAAAATGGTTGCTGAATATGAAAATTGTAAGGTACTTGGCAAGTGTTATGGATCAATTCCAGGGCAAGTTGCTCTTTTCTACAGGTGGATCCCTCAGGATTCTATTTTGAGATCTCTGACTTCAAGTTGTTTTATGCAGTTACTCCTGGTTGACAAAAAGATAACAAACGCAAGAGATCTTATCCATGTTTTGGAAGATGCTATTAAAGGGGTTTACCCAATTATAATCATTGCAGAGGACATTGAACAGGAAGCTCTTGCTACTCTTGTTGTAAACAAGCTCAGAGGGTCACTAAAGATTGCTGCAATGAAAGCCCCTGGTTTTGGAGAGCGCAAAAGTCAATACCTTGATGATATTGCAATACTCACTGGAGGTTTGTGCAGCATCTTATGAAAGCCATACGTCAGATATCTTCATTTTTCTCTTGTTAGAACTTATTGTATTATATATTTAGGCACTGTGATAAGAGATGAGGTTGGGTTATCATTGGACAAAGCTGAGAAGGAGGTCCTAGGGCATGCTGCAAAAGTGGTGCTCACCAAGGAGACCTCTACGATTGTTGGTGATGGAAGTACACAGGAAGCAGTGAATAAGAGAGTTTCCCAGATCAAGAACCTTGTTGAGGTGATTTGAATTTGGATCCCTTTCTTCCCTCCTATGCACCTTTGTCGTTTTTGCTAAATTTGTGAGTATATTATATATGCAGGATACAGATCAGGAATATGAAAAAGAAAAGCTCAGTGAGAGAATTGCAAAACTCTCGAGTGGTGTTGCTGTCATTCAGGTAAGCCTTGGTCTTGCATGGTTCATTGTTGATGATTTATTTAAATATATGTGGTATACTATCATCTTTGTTTTTATGTTGTTTAATTAATTATTTGTGTTTCTAGGTTGGAGCACAAACAGAAACCGAACTAAAAGAAAAGAAATTGAGAGTGGAAGATGCTCTCAATGCAACAAAGGTATTTTGCTTGAAATTTCTGATGAAAGATGCTGAAGATGTTGTACTACAAAATTCTATTCCCTGACACCTGCTACCAGGCTAAAGCTTAATTTTGAAACATCAATTATTTTTAGGCAGCTGTTGAAGAAGGCATTGTAGTTGGTGGAGGTTGCACCTTATTGAGACTTGCAGCAAAAGTTGATGCCGTTAAAGAGACTCTCGAGAATGATGAACAGAAGGTCATTCATGCCTTGAGATTTTAATTTATCTGTTGGCTGTGGATATAAAATATGAAATGGAGCCTTTTGTCTGACCTAGTAATTGTTGGCAGGTTGGAGCAGATATTGTTAAAAGGGCATTGAGCTATCCAATGAAGTTGATTGCGAAGAATGCTGGGGTCAACGGGAGTGTTGTTATCGAAAAGGTATCGTGATGGATCATGTCTGATCATTTTTACCTTAATACACTCGTTATTAGCTCTCATTTGGTTTATCCATCTTTTATCATCAGGTGCTGTCAAATGACAACCCTAACTATGGTTATAATGCTGCAACTGGAAACTATGAGGATCTGATGGCAGCTGGTATTATTGATCCTACAAAAGTGAGTTTCTCTATTGCTCGAGAATTTTCTCCCATTTTTCTCTTTTCAAGAAGGAAACAAAGGCTGATTTATTGACACGAGTGCCGAGAACTCCCTGGTTCATGCAAGCAAGAAAAGAAAAATGGTTGTGTCAAGTTGAACATTATGTTTCACGATTATCAAGTAATCTTGTGGTTTTCTGAAAACATAGGTGGTAAGATGTTGCTTGGAGCATGCAGCATCTGTTGCAAGGACATTCCTCACTTCGGATGCAGTGGTTGTTGAAATCAAGAAACCCGAACCTTTGCCTACCGGAAACCCTATGGATAACTCAGGTTTTTACAGTTGATTAGAAGCCAAACTCAAATGATTTTGACGATTCATCATTTAGGCTTTATCAAATTGTTGGTTAACCAATTCCTTTGCTTTTTTGTGTGTGTGACAGGTTATGGGTACTAAACTATTATGCACAATGATTATGCACATCGATCCCTGTCTTCACGTTAGCAAGTTACTTAAGATTCAAGTATGATCAAAGAAATATTGTATTTGAATAGATTATGGCTGTAGGATGGACGTTGTTGAAACTCATATAATGCAAGGGAAGAAGATGTCAATATCCAAAGTGATAGCAAATTATGTGTTCTAAAATTAATTCGCCAACTTTAACTTGAGGCGCACATCAGCATTTGATGGTTTCCAGTATTAGCTCAAAATTTTATATCATTGTCGTTAAGCTGAGCCCAGAGTTTTGAATGTTTAGCAAGAAATTTCATCATTGATTTTGACA